AAAAGTTTTACTTTATAAGTAATTTTATAATATTCTATTAAGATTAATATAGTTAAAAGTAAACCCTAAAAGTTTATTATAGATTAATTATAAAATTTTTTAATATAATTTTTTTTTAAAAATTACAAATTTTAGCTTTTAAGTAATCTTAAACCTTTTAAAATATAATTAAAAGATAAAACTTACTATTATTTATTATATATTTATAAAATTAATTTAAATAAAAAAAATTTTAAAAAATATTAATTATTTATAATAGTAAATCAGAAGAGAATTTATAGGTAAATTTGCTTGCAAAACCCTATGATTTAAGGGATAAATAAAAATTAATAGATAAAAATTATCTGAAGTCATCTATTCAAAAGTAAAAATTTATTTTCTAATAATAAAAATCATTTTTGAATAGGTGAGAATCATTTTTAATTTAAAATTCATTAATTTGAATTGATAAAATTTATCTTTAAATGTAAAATTCATTTTTGAAATGTTGAAATTTTCTTTGAATACAATATTTCATTTTTAAAATAATTAAAATTGCCTTCAAATATGAAATTCATCTTCAAAATGATGAAATTTACTTCGAATATAATATTTTACTTTCAAATTAATGAAAATCACCTTTGAATGTAAAAATTATTTTCAATAGATGAAATTTATCTTTGAATTATCATTATACAAAATTCAAACCCATGTATCATTTCACAGATCTACATAGTAAAATTACTATAATAAGAGATGTACATTTTTTAATTAGTAAAAACTGCGGTAGTTATGCATGATCTTACCTTTTTTTTACTAATTAAAAAGGTACATGTTCCTTTTTGAAAAAGGTACACCTGCCTCTTTGGGATATGTCTTACAGACTTTATTGATAAATTTTATAAAATTGATTAGGATGTGTTCAAAGAAAAATATGTTGTTCATTAGTAATTTATTAGAGATATTTTTAATTGATAAATGCGTTTATTAATAAAAAACTTTAAAAATGAATAATAATAATCAACATCAACAATTCACACAATATAAAGCCGATAAAACTCTGGTTTTATATTTAGTATTAGAATATATAACAAATGAAATTTTAAACATTACGAGTGGAGAAAACGACTTTAAAAATTATTATTACAGAGATCTTAAAATTTCTACTACCAAAGATCTTAAAATTTGTTATAATGGGTACAATTACAAATATTATTTGGAATTTTATTAAATAAGCGATTAGATGAAATTGATGAGATAACCGGACGAAATAATAATAAGTGGAAAATTGAAATTTTCGTAAATAATGAAATTTTTAATGATTATAATGAAAATTATACATTAAGACAAAAAACAAAAATTACCAAGATGATAAAATATATTGGTCAAACAAATATGATGTTGAAACAAAAAGTTCAAGAATTTTATGCAAAATGGATGAATATCGAATTAGATGTTGAAACTATCATACAAGAAACAAAACCTAAAAATAAATCTATTTTCACTGAAAAGGGATGGAATGTAATTGAATATTGGAGTACAAATTGTAAAATACAATTTAAAATATTAAGTGACGAGAAAATTAAAAGAAAATATGTTGAAAATAATTAATATATATTATATTTTTTTATATTTATGATGTAATGTTATTGGGCATAAAAAAATAAATTTATGATGTAATGCGACGTTTATTTTTTTTTTGTTTATTACGTTTTTTATTTTTTTTACACGTTTCAGTTTATTTAACGCGTTTCAAAAGTATAAAAACGCCATTTTAATTTTTTTAATAAAAAAATACGCAGAAGATCGATAATTTAAAATCACGTTACCTCTCATCCATATATTTCCATAATTAGTGTATATTATGAAGATCTTTGAATCCCACAATTTTAAAATTTTCACTTTTT